CGCTCGTGCGATGCACGAAATGGATTTATTGTAATATATTAAGAATATTTGGATCGATATATAATTATTTAAATTAGAGCATCAAATATATAAGTACAATTGAAGATATGGTTTTTATCATTTATGTGTTTTTATGTTATCCTTGCTTCAATTTGAGCAAAATAATTGCTCAAATTAATAGTTAATGTGTAGATGTACGCATGCGGTGCTGTAACTTTGAAGATTTTATTTATCATTGTTTAGTATTTTTTTATTATATAAATTAGGCAAATGTGCTCGTTCTCTAGCAACTCAGTTATAGGAATGAATTGCTATCTTAATTCATTTATATGGGAGATATATTTTTATTTTTATTTTGTCTAGATATATAGCAATCTTGTCATTTAAAAAAAAAAAAACATAATATCAACGATTGTATTTACACATTATTGAAACCTATTTGTAGACGACATTGATAGTAGCAACACAATCTTGTCCATCATCGTCTAGAGCTAACACCTTCAGTCCATCAGGATGGTTGACTCGGGTGAAAATATATAATAGTAAAATATTATTCAATTAGCGATCCTTTTATATTTTAAGTCAATTAGTAATATCAGATTCATTTTCAGTCAATTATTCTTTTTTATTTTTAGTCAATTAGAATATCATATGCAGTGATATTTTTACTTAATTTCCATTCCATTTTTAATTGATGATGTATAATATTATTATTGAAATATTTCCGTTCCATTTTTAATTTACTTTTACTATTGTTTAAAATATGAATTTACTATTTTTTATGTAAAATATTATTATTGAAATATTTCCGTCCAATTTTAGTTAACGTTCCATTTTTAATTAAAATGCAATGATCTAACCATTTATTTTTTGAGTTAATACCCAAAATCGTCCTCGACTATAGTGGTTTTTCTCAATTTCGTCCTAAACGACTTTGGTGACCTAATATCGTCCCAGACTTTTGTGTTTCGCTCAATTTAGTCCCAGACTTTTGTGTTTTTGCTCAATTTAGTCCCTCATTTGTTATTCTGTCCATTTGGTGTTAAATAAATAGACAATTCAGTAATTTTAATATTGGCATCTCTTTACTCATAGACATGTGAAGTGCGAAATTCCTTTTTTTTTTACGAATTACTCCCAGAATTACTCCTAAAACTGCGAATATAAAATTTAATTTGCAGGTCCGGGAGTAATTTTGGGTGTAATTCGTACAATAAAGAGGAATTTCGCACTTCACAAGTTGAAAGTAAAGAGAGATCAATATTGACATTATTGAATTGTCTCTTTATTTAACACCAATTTGACGGAATAACAAATGGAGGACTAAATTGAGCGAAACACAAAAGTCTGGGATGATATTAGGTCACCAAAGTCGTTTAGGACGACATTGAGAAAAACCACTATAGTCGAGGACGATTTTGGGTATTAACTCTTTATTTTTTCATATTAGTCAAGTATGGATCATTTTTTATTTGCAGTCAACTATTAACATTCATTTCCTTTTATATTTTCAGCCAATTAATACTATTATATTCATTTTCAGCCAATTATTTACATAATCTCACACACAAAAAATCAACCAATTATTCTTTTTTATTTTCAATCAATTAGTGAATTAGCCAATTAGAATATCAGATGCAGTGATATTTTAACCCAGTTTTTGTTCCATTTTTAATTGACGCTGTAGAATATTTTTATTGAAATATTTTTGTTTCATTTTTAATTTTCGTTGCATTTATAATTTACCTTTACTATTGTTTAAACTATTCCTTTACTATTGATGATCTACAATATTACGGAGTGTTATTGAAATATTTCCTTTTCATTTTTAATTTACCTTTACTTGATGATGTAGAGTATTATTATTGAAATATTCCCGTTTCATTTTTAATTTATGTTTCATTGTTTAAAATTGTGAAAGATTTATGACATAATTGTGATTTGATGTTTTATACTGTGTAATATTATTGTGAAAAATTAAAATGCAATGATATGACCATTTCCTTTTCCATTTTAGTCAATTATGGATCATTTTTTATTTTCATTCAATTATTAATATTCATTTTCTTTTCCAATTAACTTAATTTATGTTCTTTTTTTTTTCATTTTTAATTTTCAGTCAATTATTAATATTCATTTCTTTTTCTAATTTACCTAATTTCCATTCCATTTTTAATTGATGATGTAGAATATTATTGTGAAATATTATTGTTCCTTTTTTTTCATTCCTTTTTTAATTTACCTTTACTATTTAGTATTTACTGTTGTTTAGTCGGAAAATCAAGTAAATAGGATTTTGTTTTTAAATATAGTATAGATTATATATATATATATATATATATATATATATATATATATATATATATAGACACACAGACACAGACACATCAATATATGTATATATGTAAAAGAATTGAAATATAATACAATAATTATTTCTAACGTCCCGATAAGATTTTTTTAATTCAGATTCAGATTTCCCAAATAACTCAGTGCATTAATGATCCCATAACGGGAACGGTGCATTCCCACTGGCATCAGTGACACTTATGGTAACTTTATGTTTAAAGGTACCATTGGCCCAATACTTATTGCATTTCAAGCAATGAAAACGATTCAATGTCTGTTCTAATTTTTTGTTGCACCTATTACAGGATAGATAACACCAATCTCCAATAGTTTCAATAACCACAATCTTGGCTAACACCCAAAAGTTTATGACGTATGTGTTTACAATTTTAAATAATTAAATAGTAATGTGAGAAGAAATATTGATGATTTAAAATTACATTTGTGTTGACAATTCTAGTATGGAATAACCTATTAAAATTACATTTGTGTTGAATTCGTAACATTATTTTAAGCAATCAAAATATTTTAATTCACGAAATTTGAAAATGAGATTTCGCAAATTATCTCTATATTTTCCATATAAAGGATTTTTTGAATATTTTCTTATTCTATTCATATAATTTGAATCGGTAAGAAATTAATATTCTAATTTACATATTTGAACATGAGATTTTGTGAATTTTCTCAATATTTGCAGCTATAAATGAATTATTCTAACCTTGTTTTAAAGAATCAATATTCTAATTCACGATATTTGCAGATGAGATTATGCAAATTTTCACATCAATAGTACTAAAAGTATTACTTTGAATTTTTATAAATAAGTTATAATATTGTTAAACTGAAATAATAAAAAATAATGGGTCAAAATATATATGAGGTCCCTGTAATATAATGTTTTGTTCAATTTAGTCCTTTTACCTTAATTTTGTTCTATTTAGTCCTATACTTTTAAAAGTGAAACTCTCTTCTTGTTTCACACAAGAAGCCCTAAAGGTATATATTCATAAAAAGAAGTATTATATATATATATATATATATATATATATATATATATATATATATATATATATATATATTCGTCTTTTTGTTTGAACCAGTTAGTTATGTGTGCACACTTTCAGGTAGTGATTGTGGGTTTATCTCGTTATCCAAAAATAAGTATTATATGAAGTGATGTCCACAAAGATAACACTCTATCTAGAACCATCAATTATTGATATCTGATTGGGTGGAGATTAACCAAGCTAATTTATGGATTTGCAGGAAAGAGTGATTAAGTGTTATGAACTGATCCAAGATTTGGCTGCAAGTTTGGGTCCAAATTGGGAGTTGGAAGTTGATGAAAGTTCATCTGTAGATTCTTCACATACTAATCCATGCAATAAAAGGAGGAGAGCAGATATGACAAAATCTATAGTGAGGGCCAGAGAAGAAAGTCCTGGAACTGATTTTTATCAGACTTAGTTTCAGACTCTATGGTCAATCACTTTTGGCCAGAGGCTCTAATAAAGACAAAACAGGAAGATTTATCAATTTATTAAAGATGGAATTAATTCATCTTTAATTTGGAACAACTTGTATTTTCTTTTATTTTTACTTGAAACAAGAATTATCACCTTTAATTTGGTCTTACAAGGAATTATCACCTTTAATTTGGTCTTACAAGTTTTAGCATTTTTTTAAAAAAATTTTAATTCTCATTTTATAAGTTATGGTAATTGAATTGGTAGCAATGACTAGAGATCTTTAATTAAAAATGGTTACATGTACAAATGTTCCTAATAGGTGTGCGTTCGTCGTGCGTGCTAATTTGGTGCATCAAAGTAAACTTGTTTAAACTAAGAAATATTTATAGAAAGAGTGTCATTGAATTATCTCAAATTTATCAAGGGAAGTATGTCCATACTTTTTGCATATAGTTTTTTTTTTTTTTTTTTTTTTTTAATATATACAATAAGATAGAGAACTTCGGGCAGAGATTTTTAACTAAAAATGGTTACGTACATGTACAAATGTGTATGTGTTGGCCGCCTCTGTCCCCTCCTTTATCTCCACATTCGAGATTCGGTTACTTTATAATATATTTATAATTAAGATTATTCTATATTAGCGATAGATAGGAGTTTGTTTGTTTCACGTGATCAGCCATGTAAGCAATGTAACGGAATAGTAATGATAGCAACCAGCTATTTTGTGTAATTGTATAATTTTTACTGATTTGAAGAATCAATCGCACTTTATAATTCAATGATTCAATTTCATTTTTATGTAAAATTTAGTGACTTTATTTGACTTTGAATAGATTTTATGCGAAAACGTGTGAGACCTGACACCATATGAATTGTGTAATACATTTTAATTAAAATGCAAAATATTTTTTCCCATTTCCTATATAATTGTCTCAATCCGGCCTCATTCCAACTTTGTAACAATCCCCCCTCCCCTCCCCCCAATCACACCTCCTCCCCACTCCCCGGCCCCACTTCCTTCCTCCATTTTTTGTAGCCAAAAACCATTGAAACATATGAAGCAAAACTAAATTTTTTGTAATTAATTACAAGGTTTTGATAGAATACATCACTAAAAGAGGCTCTTTCTTTCTTTTTTTTTTTTTTTTTTTTTTTTTTTTTTTTTTTTTTGCTTTAATGGCTGAAAACAACCATGATTATTTTTCTACAAGCCTTCTATGTATGGAGACCAAGAGTATTTGCTTTGATGATGATGATTCACTACCCACAGATGAGCATTCCTATCAATCGTATAGCGATGAAAACTTCATCTCTGACAATGGCAGATCAGAACCATTCATTGATTTGCCAAGTCTCAGTGAAGAGAGCTTTGCGATGATGGTGGAGAGGGAGACCCAACATTCCCCACAAGCTGATTATCTCAGGAAACTGACAAGTGTTGACTTGTTGTTGAGTATGAGAATAGAAGCTTTTGATTGGATTTGGAAGGTGGTTTGATTTTTTTTTTTTTTTTTTTTTTTCGTTTCCACTATTTTTTCTGATTATTTTATTTGTTAGAAAGTGAACTAGATTTGTTTCCGTTTTATTAAAGTTGTTATTTGTTAATGTCATTGGTTTTCTAGGATTTTCTAAAAATGGAATTTTGTTTTTTCTTGATGTCAATATTGAATTTTTCATGATTTTCCTAAATAGAAAGTTATAAAAAGAAAACTCCCATGTTTATTCCTAAACATAGATGAATTATATATATGTTTTTGCAGGTTCATTCCCATTTTGGCTTTGGAGTGTTAAGCTTTTGTTTGTCAATAATGTACTTGGACCGCTTTCTCTCTGTTTATGAACTGAATGTAAGTTTCTCTGTACTATAAAGATTTCTTGTAAGGTGGACCCGGGTTCTCGGGATAACTGCTGACACTGTTTTTGGATGTTGAGTGGTAATTGTTTTGACTGATTTTTGTCTTCTTGGGATTCATAGGGAGGTCAAACTTGGACGGTGCAAGTGTTAGCTTTGGGATGTTTGTCACTGGCAATCAAAATGGAGGAGATTTATATTCCATGGGCTATGGAATTAAAGGTGAAAAGTTTATGTTCATGATTAAATTATTATTATTATTATTATTTTTGTGTGTATATGTTTTGTCAATTAGATTTTTAATATAATGTGAGTTCTTGGAAAAAGGTGGTGGAACCCAAGGTTTTTTTGGAAGGTGAATCCATTCAGATAATGGAATTACATGTAATGAGTACATTGAAGTGGAGAATGCACTCTTGTACACCATGCACATTCATAGACTATTTTCTGAAGAAGTTTAATGGTGATCGTCAGATCACTTCAGGGCCTTTGATTTCAAGATCAATGCACCTCATTGCATGCACAATGAAAGGTACTTCTTTATTCCATGCCTATAATGGGACTACGTAGAGAACTACTACTTGAAAATGTATGACTAGTTAGGGTCGCACTATTGGAAATTATGAAATTTCCGACCATCTGAGAGTGATCTTAAATCAAGTCGAAAGTCTTGTTCCGATCACTTTTGGTATCTGGAAAATCCTTTGTTGCTATTTCCGACCACTTTTTGCTTTCAACTTGATTTAAGATCTTTCAGATGGTCGGAAATTTCATAATTTCCAGCTGTGTCGGTCCAGGTCAAACTGATGTGAATTGATTTGTTTTAGTGTACTATTTTGGCCCGAATTTCTTTTAGTATTGATCCAGGTGGAAAATTTTAATGCAGGTATTGAGTTCTTGGAATTCAGGCCATCTGAAGTTGCTACAGCAGTAGCACTGTTTGTTTCAAAGGAAATGCAATCAACTATAGACCTTGATAATGCCCTCTCTTCTTGTTTCACACAAGAAGCCCTAAAGGTATATATTCATAAAAAGAAGTACTTACATATATATTCGTCTTTTTGTTTGAACCAGTTAGCTAGCTATCCGTAAGTGACTGGGTAACTTAGGATTATACGGTTTATCTTCTTGTGGTCATAAAACGGAATTTAATTTACCCAGTGTACACCCTCAAGTAGTGAGTAGTGACTGTGGGTTTCCCTCGTTAATTTCCCGAAAAGAAGTATTATATGAAGTGATGTCCACAAAGATAACACTCTAGAACCAAGCTAATTTATGGATTTATGCAGGAAAGAGTGATGAAGTGTTATGAACTGATCCAAGATTTGGCTTCAAGTTTGGGTCCAAATTGGGAGTTGGAAGCTGATGAAAGTTCATCTGTAGATTCTTCACATACTAATCCATGCAATAAAAGGAGGAGAGCAGATATGACAAAATCTAGAGTGAGGGCCAGAGAAGAAAGTCCTGGAACTGATTTTTCTCAGACTTAGTTTCAGACTCCATGACCAATCACTTTTGGTCAGAGGCTCTCTGATAAAGACAAAACAGGAAGGTTTATCAATTTACTAAAGATGGAATTAATTCATCTTTGGAACAACTTGTATTTTCGTTTATTTTTACTTGAAACAAGAATTATCACATTTGGTCTTACAAGTTTTAGCATTTTTTTAAAAATTTTAATTCTCATTTTATAAGTTATGGTAGTTGAATTGGTAGCAATGAGCAAAGATTTTTAACTAAAAAATCTTACATGTACAAATGTTTCTAATAGCCGTGCGACTGTCGTACGTGCCAAGTGCCAACTTGGTGCATCAAATTAAAATAAACTTGTTTAAACTAAGAAAATATTTATTATAGAAAGATTTTGAATCTATAAACAAATAACTAAAATATTTGTCATTGAACTGTCTCAAATTTATCACATGACTAGCACATTGTTTGATGGTGTACTAGGGGAACTATATATGTCCATGCTTTTTTGCATTAGAGCAATTGTAAATAGCTAGAAATAGTTAATGTTTTTATATTACATTATATTAGCGTTGGAGGGATAAGAAGATTATATTAAAGTTTGTGGTAAACTTTTGGAAAATGTTTTGGTATTTTCAAGTAGTTCGTTGCAATTTCAAATTAGTTTGAAGATTTTTATTTTGACTCATTTAATCTTGTGGTTTAAAATTATTTTATATTAAATTCAAAATGTCTAAAATGTTTTATGGTTGCGTTTGTGTAATGCCCATAAAGTAAGGATCTTGTAGGCACTTAGGAATAATGAATAAATATCAAATACTTTTAAAAGTGAAGGATTAAATGTGTTAAATTTGAAAGTTGTGGACTAGGCATAAATTGTCACTACACAAGTTTTTTTTTTTTTTTTTTTTTTTTTGAAAGTTACTGGCTCTATTACATTGTAGTATCTGTTCATATACTTTCTCAACCTACTGAAACACAAAGAACCAATAACGCCTCCACTGAGGCTCGAACTTATAATCTTCCAAATGGAAGTCCAACCCAGATACCATTGGACCACATAGTCCTGGTTGTCACTACACAAGTTATTATATTAAAAATGAAATTAATTCATTTTTGAAACACGTTGCATTTCGTTTTATATTTACTTAGATGAAAAATTATCATTTTGATCCTATAAGTTTTAGTATTTTTTTTTTTTTTTTTTACAATAGTCGTCAATTATTAATTTTATTAATTTAAGTGCGCAATTTTTAAACTCTTATCAATTTTTATCGATATAGTCAACTAAACGACGAAATTTAATCGAAAACAGTCACATAATTTGTAGATGTGGAATATTTAAAGGTAGATTTGTCAAGTCATTATTTTTCTTCATTGGATTACAATAGAATACAAATATTACGGAGTATCAATTTTGGTCCCACATCTTTTAGATCATATTCTGTTTAATTTCAGTCAAGAGACTGTCACTTTTATCAAGGGTGTTGCTATTTGTACCACCCTCTAGTCAAAAGTAGATGTAAATCACATTGGAATTGTAAAAATGACAAAAAATTCAACAATCTTATAGATGGTGCAACCAGCTATTTTGTGTAATTGCATAATTTTTACTTGCTTTGAAGAATCAATCACACTTTATAATTCAATGATTCAATTTCATTTTATGTAAAATTTAGTGACTTTATTTGACTTTGAATTGATTTTATGCGAAAACGTGTCAGACGTGACACCATATGAATTGTGTAATACATTTTAATTAAAATGCAAAATATTTTTTTTCCATTTCCTATATAATTGTCTCAATCCTCATTCCAACTTTGTCACAATCCCCCCTCCCTCCTTCTAATCACACCTCCTCCCCACTTCCTTCCACCATTTTTTGTCTTCTTTTAGTAAAACATACATATGCAAGAAGCAAAACAACACCAATAACCCTTAATATATAGCCAAAAACCATTGAAACACATGAAAAGTTTGTGTAAGTGTGATTAGGAAAGACAAAAAAGATGTAGGAGAAAAAGAAAAAGAAGAAGAAGAAAAAAAAACAAATTCTGACATTTAAAAAAAATGTTGAACAGACTTTACAGTTTACGCGCCAGCTAGGCGCACGGCAGGTGCGCGGAACGCGCACTTACCTTCATTAATGCTTTTCCTAACTTTTGCCAATGGGCCCCACAAAGATACATCCCTTGCAGCAATCAAAAAAATCACTCACCTTTTCATTTTTAATTTACCTTGATGATGTAGAGTATTATTATTGAAATATTCTCCTTTCATTTTTAATTTATGTTTCATTGTTTAAAATTGTGAAAGATTTATGACATAATTGTGATTTGATGTATTATATTGTGTAATATTATTGTGAAAAATTAAAATGCAATGATCTAACCATTTCCTTTTTAATTTTAGTCAATTATGGATCATTTTTTATTTTCAGTCAATTATTAATATTCATTTTCTTTTCCAATTAACATAATTTATGTTCCTTTTTTTTTCATTTTTAATTTTCAGTCAATTATTAATATTGATTTCTTTTTTCAATTTACTTAATTTCCATTCCATTTTTAATTGATGATGTAGAATATTATTGTGAAACATTTCTGTTCTTTTTTTTTTCATTCCTTTTTTAATTTACCTTTACTATTTAGTATTTACTGTTGTTTGGTCGAAAAATTAAATAAATATGATTTTGTTTTTAAATATAGTATATATATATATATATATATATATATATATATATATATATATATATATATATATATATATAGACGTACACACAGACACACACACATCAATATATATGTAAAAGAAGTTAAATATAATACAATAATTATTTCTAACGTCCACATAAGATTTTTTTAATTGAGATTCAGATTTCCCAAATAACTCAGTGCATTCACAATCCCATAACGGTAACGGTGCATTCCCACGGGCATCAGTGACTGTTATGGTAACTTTATGTTTAAAGGTACCATTGGCCCAATACTTATTGCATTTCAAGCAATGACAACGATTCAATGTCTGTTTTAATTTTTTGTTGCACCTATTACAGAATAGATAACACCAATCTCCAATAGTTTCAATAGCCACAATCTTGGCTAACACCCAAAAGTTTCTGACCTATATGTTTACAATTTCAAATAATTAAATAGTAATGTGAGAAGAAATATTGATGATTTAAAATTACATTTGTGTTGACAATTCTAGTATGGAATAACCTATTAAAATTACATTTGTGTTGAATTCGTAACATGATTTTAAGCAATCAAAATATTTTAGTTCACGAAATTTGAAAATGAGATTTCGCAAATTATTATCTCTATATTTTCCATATAAATGATTTTTTGAATATTTTCTTATTCTATTCATATAATTTGAATATGTAAGAAATTAATATTCTAATTTACATATTTGAACATGAGATTTCATGAATTTTCTCAATATTTGCAGCTATAAATGAATTATTTTAACCTTATTTTAAGGAATCAATATTCTAATTCATGATATTTGCACATGAGATTATGCAAATTTTCACATGAATAGTACTAAAAGTATTACTTTGAATTTTTATAAATAAGTTATAATATTGTTAAACTGAAATAATAAAAAACAATGGGTCAAAGTATTTATGAGGTCCCTGTACTATAATGTTTTGTTCAATTTAGTCATTCTACCTTAATTTTGTTCAATTTGTCCCTATACTTTTAAAAGTGAAACAATTAAGGACAATAGTTGAAAGTAAAAACGTGTGAGACGTGACACCATATGAATTATGTAATACATATTAATTAAAATGCAAAATATTTTTTCCCATTTCCAATATAATTGTCTCAATCTTCATTCCAACTTTGTCACAATCCCACAATCCCCCCCACCCCCCCCCCCCTCCAATCACACCTCCTCCCCACTCCCCAGCCCCACTTCCTTCCTCCATTTTTTGTCTTCTTTTAGTAAAATATACATATGCAAGAAACAAAACAACACCAATAATCCTTAATATATAGCCAAAAACCATTGAAACACATGAATAGTTTTTGTAAGTGTGATTAGAAAAGACAAAAAAGATGTGGGAGAAAAAGAAAAAAAAAAAAGAAAAAAAAAATTCTGACATTTAAAAAAAAATGTTGAACAGACTTTACAGTTTACGCGCCAGCTAGGCGCACGGCAGGTGCGCGGAACGCGCACTTACCTTCATTAATGCCTTTCCTAATTTTTGCCAATGGGTTCCACAAAGATACATCCTTTGCAGGAATAAAAAAATGAAAATAAAAATAAAAATAAAAATAAAAATAAAAATCCTCACACACTAGCTTGAATCCCATCTTCAATTTTTTCATCAGTAAAAACCAAATAATATGTACCACTATGGATGCTCTTAGATCATATTCCGATTCCCTACCAAAAAAAAAGATCATATTCCGATTCAATCAAGAGATTGTCACTTTTATTAACATACACTACTTTCAAAAGATGTAATTATCAATGACTTTTGGAGTTCATGATTGAGACTTCTATACATTTATGATGAATTATGTTTTTTTGTTTTCTTTTGTGCTTTATTATATCGAAGTCTCATTCCTCTTTCACAATTCAATATACTTGTTGGGTACTATTTTTGATGGCTTCATCACTAGTTAATAGTTAATACTGTTATTCCCTTGCTCATATTCTTCAGTATTTTAGGAAAATATGATGATTGGAGTTTAGACTTCCAAGCCACATTGCCTATATAAATAGTGCCGACTTGAACTTCAAATGAATGGTAGTTAGAATCAAAATCGATATTCCTTCCACAGTAATGCAAATATGGGCCGGATAGATTATGACGAGCTGTGTAGGACTCCCAAATTAAAAGCTTACAAATGTAGTAGTGAAAATAAAAATCGTTTTCATGAAAAACGATTAAAAAACCTTTTTTGTGTTATACAATAAGATAGAGAACTCCGATTTTTAATTAAAAATGGTTACATGTACAAATGTTCTTAGTGGGCGTGCAATCTCCGTGCGTGCCAACTTG